ACTTGAGGCTCCCGGAGGTCCCCAAAGTGCAGTGCTGGTGGGTTGCTGGGACTTGTCCAAGCCTCGGCTTGACGAGTGCATCCCCTCTGTTTCACGAGTGTAAGAATCAGCCAGAACAAGGACACATCGGGAGCGGACACACCGAGACTCTCCGAGACCAGACGGCTCTTGAGGATGCCTCGGGCGCCGCAGCCGCCGCAGAGCGTGCTGGAACGGACTTGTCCCCGCCCTCGGCCCGTCCGGTAGTGGTCCTCCACTTGCACCCTCGTGGCAGCTCGCCTGGGAATCGCTTCTGCATGGTCCCGTGAGGATGCGCGAAACCTCAATAAATATAGATTGGACTGCATATCGCTCAATCCAAGGTGCCCTGAGGTTGTCCCTCCGACCTCGATGTGCAGATGGATGTCTAGACAGTGTGGGATACTCTTCTGGCAGTCTCGGATCCAGACCCCGCCAGGTCAAGAGGTGTCTGCGGGAAGTCAAATCTCACCACGCGAAACTTCAACCAGCAGAACGAAATCGGCACCTGGTGGTGCCACAGCAGGGTCCCAGTAGATGTGCGGCACAAACTCGGTGGGTTCTCCTGTCACCAACTGCGGGATTGGGAGGAGTGCTCACATGCTGGACCAGGCGAACCTAGATGTATACGCGCTGCATCAATCAGAGGATCCGGAATCTGGTGTGGACGCATGGTCGGGGTCCGAAAGCGTCTGCTGCCCCTGAGCCAGGTCTACAACTCGTAGTGCAATTATTGGCGGCGCGCCCAGGGGGGAAGCGAGAAGCGAGAGGAGGCCACGCTTCTCAGAAGGCGGCGGTGATGCTCGGAAGCCCTCTGGCCTCCCGCGAAGCCCCCCCTGTGGCTTCGGAGAAGGCTCAGGAAGCTTCTCATAGCCCGGGCCTTGAACCCCCCCCCGGGCAAGACGAGGCCAGGACGAGGATACCATGAGAAGAAAACGCGCCATAAACCTAAACTGAAGTCGGGCGTGTCCCTGGCGGATAAAAAACTGCTCCAGGCCACAAATGACCCCCCCCCCAAGATGCTCCCAAATACCAAAACAAAATAGCAAACAACTCGTCCCCCGATGAATTGTCCTCCCCGGTTCTGAGTGCTCCTCCTGTAGAGGCACAGGCCCGACCGAAACCTAAACTCTTGGCGCTCCGCGCGGACCTCTCGGATCTGCGCTGGGACCCCCCCCGGCAGCGCCTCCGGCGCCCGCCCCTGCGCGCGCCAGGGCGGGGGGCGCAGCGCGGATCCAAGAGATCCGCGCGGAGCGCCAAGAGGTTCGGTCCGTGGCGTCTTGTTCTCCTTCGAGGTGCAGTCAACCCGCATCGCAAGGATGCGCGATGACGATGCGAGGGCCTTGGACGCCCATCTTGAAGTTTTTCGAGCACGGCCTGGCCGACGCAAGTGGCCGAGGACGGACCGAGGAGGCAAGGGTGCAAGGGTACCCTTGGGCAGGTTGCCCATCCGTACCATGTGGGTTGACGGTACAGTAGGGGCTCGACCAAAAGAAACCTCCCGCAAGAAACCCAACCCTGAGACCCCAGGACGTCCATTGATCTTTGGTGCGAGAACGTCGCGTCTTCCATTGCAGAACCATCGAAACCCAAGAAACCCAGGGCACCCTGGAGGCAAGCAGGGTGTTTCTTGGCATGGGTCTCCACTGCACCATCGGGTGAGGATACATTGGGAACCTCTGAGATGCGGCGGCTCTGGAGGATGTTTTGGGCGCCGCGGCCCTCTGAGAAACGCTCTGGGAGTGTCCCTGGAGGCCTCCTAGATTGGGTCCGAGTAGATGGGGCCGGAGGGTCGCGCCGTATCGCCGATGCATCGCCGATGCTTCGGCGATGCATCGGCGATGCAACGGCGATGTCGGCGGTGCATCGCCGACACCAGCGCGAAGAAAACGGGGCTCCACACTCCACACCGAGCCGCATCGCCGATGCGTCGCCGATGCGGCGCGACCCTCCGACCCCGTCCCCTCCGACCCCACGGAGGAGACCTCTCTGCACCTCGAGAGAGCCTCTGATTGGGGGGGCGGAAAGATACGGATACGTGTTGTCCCCGGACCTCTCGTGGGGTGCGTTCTGACCAGAATTTCGAGGCGAATCCAGCGGTGACAACGAGGATTCCCCAGGAGGACCAGGAAAGGCCGAAAACGAAGGGGGACAACACGTATCCGTATCTTGTTCTCCCCCGATCTGAGATCCGGCCTGCTCTGGAGGAGGCCTCGGGCGCCGCCGCCCGCTCGCAGAGCCTCCCGGAGCGGTCTGGACTGCTGGTCGCCCTGGCCCCGCGCGACGGGCCACGCGGAGCTCAGGGGCTCCCCGCGCGTGACGGGTTTACCAGCCTCGACCTTATCCCTATCCCTACGATTGACACACCAAAAAGCGATGACAATCTTGGGGACGCGCCCTCAAAAGAAAGGGAATCCCTGAGGTTGGCATCGTGCTGAGGAGATGCCCAGCATAGGGATAGGGATATGCTCCAGGCTGGTATCGGGGATGGACGGACCCCCCTCTAGTAAAACGTGGCTTGGTGAAAACGACCCGAGGCCCAAACCTGGCAGGCGCAAGCCTGGATGATAACGGCCACGGCGCCCTCTCGAGAAGCGAAAACGGACGCTTCACTCATCGACGTGTCACTGTTGGGGGTTCTCTCCGCCCCCCGTGGTAAACGGGGGCACCCGCGGGGCCCCGGCCCCCCGACGAAGGGGGCCCGCAGGGCGGGCGCCCCGCGGGGGCACCCGAGAGGGGGGTGGCGACCTTCGGAGGGGAGGCCCGCAGAGCGCACGGGCCTGCCGTGGTCCTCGGCACCGCCCGGAGTGGCGGGCGGCAGCTCCACTCCCCACACCTTTTTGGACGCCCGAAATGGGTTCCGAAAGAATGGGTACACTGCCCAACAACAAATGTTGTCCCAAACCAACAGCGGCCGCTGTTGGGCAGGCGGCCTCCAGTCTCGAATGGACACAGGCCGCGGCGGCGTGGACAGCGAGGCCTGTTCAAAATGAACAGGAACTGCTGTTCATTTTGAGGAACGCGGAGCCCCTCCCCAACGAAAAGGGTTCCTTCTTCAGGGCCCCGACGGTATGTGGTCCAGACCTCCGAGGCCCACGGCCCACGCATCGACAACCTGGGAGCAGCAAGATTGCCTGGGCTCGACACGCCTCGACTCTCGCCACTCCGACCTGCGTCTCACCACCAGTTCCGGGTCCTCGGAGCGAATGTGGCCGGAAGCCCCGCGGGCAAGCGCGCTTCGCGGGAGCTGAAGGAGCGTGCCTCCAGTGCGCTCGACCTTGTCGCCATCTCCCTGCTTCTCGTGCTCTCATTATCCTCCTCCTCCTCCTCCTCCTCCTCCTCCTCCTCCTCCGCCTGCTCTCATGGCTGCCGCGGCCCCTGCTGCTGCCGAAGAGCTCCGAGCGCCACGAGTCCGTGCTGGATGCCCGAACAAGTGGCGGCAGCCGAACCCTACCGCCCCCACCAGCCATGAATCCCACCAGCTCTCATCAGGAAAACGTAAGACCTGGGTACAGGGGACTCGGAAATCCCCAACGAGGTCGTCAAAAAAATGACGAGGCCGAGCCTGCATTTTGACGAGGCCTCCCGCTGCAGACATCCCACGAAACTCCTCCTCGTCAAAATCCGAGGCGCGGTCGTCAAAAAACGATGGCGAACCCGAGTCCTGGCAAACCTGGGTCTTACGCTCCCCCGTTCTCAGGGCGTAGGTGGCTCAACGAGTTTTGCCCTCTCTCTTTCCACAACCCCTCCTTCCCCTGCTCGGGGGAGGGTTTGCCCCTCCCCTCACCCCCTCTCCTGGGCCCGGGAGAGGGGGGGGGGCTCGAGGCGCCAGAGCAAGATTGCCCAAGATGGCTCCAAGAGGGCCTCAGAGAGCCCAAGATGGCCTCCAAGATGGCTCAAGACAGCTGAAGCTGGCTGAAGATAGCCTCCCACATACATCAAAGACGCCCCAAGACGGCCCAAAGATGGTTTCAAGTGCCCTCCAAGCCCTCCAAGGACCCCCCCAAGAGGCCAAAATGGCTCCAGAACCTCAGAAATTCAGAGATTTTTGCGTTCTCGCTTTTTCGATTCTGGTGGGTTTCGAGGCCTTAAGATGGCCCCAAGACGGCCCAAGAGAGCCCCGATCGGGGATGGACAGAACCCCCTTTAGTAAAACGTGGTCTAGCGAAAACGACCTCGGGCCCAAACCTGGCGGGCGCAAGCCTGGAAAATGACGGCCGCGGCGCCCTCTCGAGAAGCGAAAACGGACGCTTCACTAACCGACGAGTCAGGGTGGGGGTTCTGTCCGCCCCCGACCCAAGAGGAGCCCAAGAGGGCCCCAAGAGAGCACAACGAGCGCCCAAGAGCACCCCAACACCGCCCCAAGAAGGCTCCAAGAGGCAAAGTTTGAGCTTCCGGGAGGTGGGGGGGGCTGAATTGAGGACCCCCCCTCCTTTTGAGCTACGGGGATCAAGACGGCCCCAAGAGACCTCTCGGACCCGCCCAAGCGCCAGAAAAGGGCCCCAAGATGGCCCGAAAAGAGCATCAAGAGAGCCCCAAGAGGGTCCCAAGAGGACCTCCAGAGAGCCCCAAGATCGCTTCCAGAGACCCCCAAGAACCTCTCACAACAACGCTTCAAATCGCCTAGCAAACTGTCTCTGAATGGGCTGGCGGGGAAACGCGAAGCGATACTTCTCCTGAATCGATGGGAGGCGGGGGCAGGGTTCGGAATTCCGAACCGCAACCCCCGCCGCCAATCGATTTGCCTGAATCGTGGATCGGAGAGGGAAGGGTTCGGATTCCGCCGCCGACCGAAGGGGCCAGCAGCCCCGACCTCACGCCCCCGAAGTCGTCCTCACCGACAAGTGCGCCCGGCACCGACCGCTCCTTCAGCTCCCGCGTCTGGGGCGTGAAATCGAATTTCGGCATGCAAATCTGAATGTGCGTGCATCGGACTACGGCTTGTCGGGGTTGCCTCCGGGAAGCCCGGCAAGCAACGGGGGTTAGATCTCCCCGTCACTGCACCAAATTCCTTGCGGCAGGGGGTGGTGCGAGGAGGACAGGGAGGGGCGAGGATGCACAAGGATGCGCCATGAGGTACGAGGAAAACGAGGACGACGACAAACAGACTCCAAGAACGTAATTACGTGCAGCGTGAAAGGTGGAGGACGATGCGGAGGTGAAGGCCAGGCACAACATGTGAACGCCATGGCAAACGTCTAACACTAGCTCATGTCCGCCAGCGTGCATCTGGCACGACATGGAATGCCCCAAGGCTCGTGCTGACCCGGGTCACTCCAGACCCGGGTCAGCAAGGCCTTGCAGGACCATCCAGGATCCTGAGAGACCCTGCGCCAAAACCCAGGGCAGCGCGACAGCTCCTGCAGGATCCTGCAGGATCCTGCGCCCCAGCCCGGGCCAGTGCGCCCCCGGCCCTGCAGGATCCTGCAAGATTCGGCGCTCTGGCTGACCCCCGCTTGCGCTGACCCTCGTCTCCTGAGCCCCGAAGGGCCCACACATTGGAGGCCTGGAAATGGGCACCAACACCAAGACACGAGGCTGCCTCCACAGGGTGGAGACGATCCTAGAATTCGGTGCTGGTGGTAATACTTCGGTCACCCTGGAAGCCAGAATGTTACCACCATCACCGAGATCGGGCTTCTCTTCCCTCGGTGGAGGAACGCCGCCGATCTTGGTGTTGGTGTCAACTTCCAAGCCTGCGAGCACACCCGCTTCTACCCGGAGCGCTCCCGGGAATTTCCGGGAGCTCCGCGGGGGCGCGTCGCGCGGGACCCCCTGGCAGCCGGAGGAGTCCCAAGACGGGCCCGCGGCGGGGAGGGGCCGAGCGAAGGCCGCGGCCACGGCCCAAGAGAGCGCCTGGAGCGACCCAGAGATCGCCTCAAGATCCGCAAAATGGCTTGAGAATGCGGCCAGAGAAGCGGCAAGAGAGCCCAGCATCGGATCGTCGATCAGTCGGGTCGGCGATCGACATGAATCGGATTGGCGGACATCGGAAGCCGAGTCGGGGAAAGTCGAATCGGCAGAAATCGGAACACACATCGGAATCTCGAATCGAATCGACTAGGAATCGGATGCAATCGAAACCGAATCGAATCGAATCGGAGAAGGCGAAACGAGCCCTGAACCGGTCCGACTGTATCCGAGAACGAACATGATGTCACGATGTGGTTGGTAAGACACGCTCCAGGAAGTCTGGAACATCCAGCGAACCTCGTTCCTGGAGCCCGTGCGGCACAATAGGACATCTCGGGGGAGACATAACGACTCGAGTTCGGGGGACTCGCAGAGTAACTACTTGCAGCTTGCACGGATTCGCCGCGGGAGATCCACGATCCGTGAGTTACATCGAGACTAGCACGGGCTTCTCGGACGTTTGCGAGTGGGCACTTCGCGAGTAGTGGAACGCGCTCGGTGATTCATGGTGACGAACGTCGTGGAGACGTAAGAATCGGGGTCGGGGGGCCCTGGTTGGCTTGACGGGGCCGTCAGGAAATTGACGAGACCCACTCTGAAAGTTGACGCGAACTCCCGTTGCAGACATCCCACGAACACAGGACCGTCAAAATCCAGCGCGGGCTCGTCAAAAAGCATCGGCGAACCCGTGCTCTGGCGCATTCGAATCCTACGTTTCGATGCCAACGTCGCCTCAGTCGACGTCGTCGTCGAGATCGTCGTAGACAACATCCGTCGCCGCCGCCGACACTGCCGCCGCCGCCGCCACCGCCGCCGTCGCCGTCGCCGTCGCCGCGGCAGTCGCCGTCGCCGTCGCCGTCGCCGTCGTCGTCGTCGTCGTCGTCGTCGTCGTCTGGCGGCTGTCCTGGCCGCGCCGGGCGCGCCCGCCCGCGCGGGCGACGGCGAGGCGCTGAGCTTCGCGGGCGACGAGGCGCGCCGCCGCTGCGCCGAGGACTGCCGGCCTCCCCGGGAGCGGCCGCGGACGCCGCGCGGGCGCTCCTGCCGCCGTCGCTCCTCCTCGCTCGCGCTCGCTCGCTCGCGCCCCTCCTCGCTCCTCGCTCCTCGCTCCTCCTCCTCCTCCTCCTCCTTCTCCTCCTCCTCGTCGCTCCTTGCTCACTCGCTCGCCCCTCGCTCCACCTCCTCGCTCGCGGTCGCTCCTCGCTCGCTCGCTCCTCGCTCGCGGTCGCTCCTCGCTCGCTCCTCCTTGCTCCTCCTCCTCCTCCTCCTCCTCCTCCTCGCTTCTCGCTCACTCGCTGGCACCTCGCTCCTCGTCGCTCGCGCTCGGTGGCTCTCGCCCCTCCTAGCTCCTCCTCCTCCTCCTCCTCCTCCTCCTCCGCCTCCTTCTCCTCCTCCTCGTCGCTCCTCGCTCACTCGCTCGCCCCTCGCTCCACCTCCTCGCTCGCTCCTCCTCGCTCCTCCTCCTCCACCTCCTCCTCCTCCTCCACCTCCTCATCCTCCTCCTCGCTCCTCGTCGCTCGACACCTCTCCAGCGTGCCGAGCAGACACTGCTTCGATACCTTCCTGGGTGCTCGAAACTATTCCCAAGAGGGCCCCAAGACGGCCCAAGGGGCCTCCAAGACGCCCAAGATAACCTTCAAGACGGCCCTGAAGCACCCCCAGTGGGCCCCGAGTCGATTCAGAGAGGCCCCCAAGATTGTATCCGACGGCGTCGGACGGTCCAGGAACGCCCCAAGAAGGCCAACATAAGCTCCCAAGAAGCCTCTTATTGGGGAAGGAGAGGAGGGGGGGGGTCTGGCTCTGGACCTCTGCTTAGAGCGACTGTTTGCGACAGTGCGCCCTCGTGGGGAGGGACTCCACCTGCTCGAAACAGGCTCCAAAAACAGACAAGATCTACTCCGCAAGGGGGGAGGAGGAAGGGGAAGGGGAAGGAGGAGGAGGAGGAGGAGGCCCAGGAGGAAGCGGAGGAGGGGGAGGAGAAGGAGGAGGATGATGATCATGGGGAGGAGAAGGAGGAGGAGGAGGAGGAGAAGGAGGAGGAGGAGGAGAGGAGGAGGAGGAGAAGAAGAGAACAGGAGAGGAGGAGGAGGAGGAGGAGGAGGAGGAAGAGGAGGAGGAGGAGGAGGAGGAGGAAGAGGAGGAGGAGAGGAGGAGAATGGGGCGGGGGCGGGGGGGGGGGGGGGTGCGAGGGCCCGCGCCGATCGGCAAGACAAGGAGTAAGAGCACGATCGCACAGCCCCCGCTGCCTGCTGGGTCGCCCGGCTTCGCGCCTCGCGCTCCGCGGTGCGAGCCAGACGCGCGCGACATCGGCGTCGCGCCCCCGCGCTGCCCCCCCCCCCTGGAGAAGGGCGCTGCCGCTCTGGCCCGGGCCGGGGCGCGCGAAGCGCGACGGCCGTCGCCGCCCCCGCGGGTGACCCCACGGGTGACCAAGCAAGGACCCCTAACCCTTTGGGAGGGGACCGATGCTAGGCGGGCTCCCTGATGCAGCGGCGGGGACCTCGGTGAGGCCACGTCCTCACTCCGATATCAGGGTCAGGGGTTCTTGGATCCTCGAGGATATGGGAAGAAACAGCAGCTGCGTAAACACAACACGTCGAAGCTCCGCGCGGACTTCGTGGATCTGCGCTGAGATCACACCTCCCATGCGCGAGGAGCGGGCCAGGGGCGGCGCCAGAGGCGCCGTCAGGGGGGCTCAGCGCCGACGCCGCTTGGAATGTTTCGAGCCACCCCGTCCCAGCCTCACCTCGGCAACCCTTATTTGGCGTCGCGCAGAGGGGGGTAGGGGGAGGAGGGACGGCTTCTTAGAAGGAGGCTGCTTCTTAGAAGGCGCGGGGCTTACGTCTACAGAAAAGGCCCGCGCCTTCTAAGAAGCAGGGGTGCTTCTAAGAAGCCTTCCCCCCTCCCCCTACCCCCCTCTGCGCGCGGCTGACCTATAGTGAGCCCACACGAGACGTAGGCGCCAGAACACATACATGAACAACGCCCCCCAATCCGCGAGACCAGCCGCGTGATACGAACGTTAGCGCAATACGCACTCCCGAAAACAACGGGAGTTCCATGTACGTGTACGTCCTTGTTTCGCTCCTGGCCTTTTCCGCCTACGGTGGGCCCGGTCGTCCTCAGTCTGGTCGTGCACGGCAGCACGCAGGACACACACGGACGGCCCAAGGCGTCCACGATCGGACACGGACGCAGAGGCAGACGAGGGCGCGCCACTCCGTACACTGGCAGGCCGGACCTTTGAGCAGCACCTGCTCCCGAACCACGTCGCGACAACAGACTCGTGAGCCGAGCGAAGCTCGGAGCTCTTCCTGCGCGCTCCTGCAGCAGCTCCGTTGGCTCTCGAAGGCACCCGCGAGCCAGCAGGGCACCGGGGACAGCTGGAGGAGCCCCCGTTCGAAGTCCTCGAAGACCCCTCCGACGCGACGAAGTCGCTCAGGAGCTCTCCGAAACGCACAGGGACCCCTTCAGAACCCCAGGCGGCCCTCAAAGCCCCCCCCCTCCTCGCCCTGGCCTCCCCGCCCTTCCCCGCCTCCCATTCCCTCATCCCGTCCTCCGTGCTGCTTGGCCAACCTCCCCTCCTCGTCTACCACCTCGTCCTCCATGGGCTAGGGGCCTCCTAGATGGGGTCCGAATTTTTGTGGTCGGAGGGTTGCGCCACATCGCCAAGGAATCGCCGATGCATCGGCGATGCATCAGCGACGTCGACGATGCATCGGCGACGTCGGCGTGGAGAAAATCAGGTTCCACATCGAACCGCATCGCCGATGTATCGGTGATGCATCGGCGATGCGGCACGATCCTCCGAACCCATCTGTTCCGACCCTATGCGGAAAGCCTTCACCACGCGACATGGTTAAGAAATCATGGTTTAAGAAATTCATGGTCTCGCGCCGGCAGGTTTCTGAATCATCATTAAGAACTATCGAGGGTCTGGCCCAGGGGCTCGGTATGTGCATGAATGTGGGCCCGAGCCCCCTCCAAGTGGGGCCCGAGCCGAATCCAAGTGGGGCCCAAGTAGGGCCCGAGCCCCCTGCAAGTGGGGCCCGAGCCGAATCAAAATGGGGCCCAAGTGGGGCCCGAGCCGAATCCAAGTGGGGCCCAAGTGGGGCCCGAGCCCCCTCCAAGTGGGGCCCGTGCCGGATCCAAGTGGGGCCCAAGTGGGGCCCGAGCCGAATCCAAGTGGGGCCCAAGAAGGGCCCGAGCCAAACCCAAGTGGAGCCCGAGCCGAATCCAAGTGGGGCCCCAGCCCAACCCAAGTGGGGCCCGAGCCGAATCCAAGCGGGGCCCAAGTGGGGCCCGAGCCGAATCCAAGTGGGGCCCAAGTGGGGCCCGAGCCCCCTCCAAGTGGGGCCCGAGCCGAATCCAAGTGGGGCCCAAGTGGGGCCCGAGCCCAACCCAAGTGGGGCCCGAGCCGAATCCAAGTGGGGCCCGAGCCCCCTCTGGGGCCGAGCGAGTGGGGCCCGAGCCGAATCCAAGTGGGGCCCAAGTGGGGCCCGAGCCCAACCCAAGTGGGGCCCGAGCCGAATCCAAGTGGGGCCCAAGTGGGGCCCGAGCCGAATCCAAGTGGGGCCCAAGTGGGGCCCGAGCCCAACCCAAGTGGGGCCCGAGCCGAATCCAAGTGGGGCCCAAGTGGGGCCCGAGCCGAATCCAAGTGGGGCCCAAGTGGGGCCCGAGCCCCCTCCAAGTGGGGCCCGAGCCGAATCCAAGTGGGGCCCAAGTGGGGCCCGAGCCCAACCCAAGTGGGGCCCGTGGGGCCCGAGCCGAATCCAAGTGGGGCCCGAGTGTGGGGCCCAAGTGGGGCCCAAGAGCCCAAGTGGGGCCCAAGTGGGGCCCGAGCCCCAAGTGGGGCCCAAGTGGGGCCCGAGCCCCCTCCAAGTGGGGCCCGAGCCGAAAGTGGGGCCAAGTGGGGCCCGAGCCGAATCCCCAAGTGGGGACCCCAACCCAAGTGGGGCCCCGAATTCCAAAGTGGGCCCGAATCCAAGTGGGGCCCAAGTGGGGCCCGAGCCCCTCAAGTGGGGCCCGAGCCGATTCCAAGTGGGGCCCAAGGGGGGCCCGAGCCGAATCCAAGTGGGGCCCAAGTGGGGCCCGAGCCGAATCCAAGTGGGGCCCGAGCCGAATCCAAGTGGGGCCCAAGTGGGGCCCGAGCCCCCTCCAAGTGGGGCCCAAGTGGGGCCCAAGTGGGGCCCGAGCCGAATCCAAGTGGGGCCCCGAATCCAAGTGGCCCAAGTGGGGCCCGAGCCGAATCCAAGTGGGGCCCAAGTGGGGCCCGAGCCCCCCAAGTGGGGCCCGAGCCGAATCCAAGTGGGGCCCAAGTGGGGCCCGAGCCGAATCCAAGTGGGGCCCAAGTGGGGCCCGAGCCCCCTCCAAGTGGGGCCCGAGCCGAATCCAAGTGGGGCCCAAGTGGGGCCCGAGCCGAATCCAAGTGGGGCCCAAGTGGGGCCCGAGCCCCCTCCAAGTGGGGCCCGAGCCGAATCCAAGTGGGGCCCAAGTGGGGCCCGAGCCGAATCCAAGTGGGGCCCAAGTGGGGCCCGAGCCCCCTCCAAGTGGGGCCCGAGCCGGTGGGGCCCGAGCCGAATCCAAGTGGGGCCCGAGCCCCCTCCAAGTGGGGCCCGAGCCGAATCCAAGTGGGGCCCAAGTGGGGCCCGAGCCGAATCCAAGTGGGGCCCAAGTGGGGCCCGAGCCCAACCCAAGTGGGGCCCGAGCCGAATCCAAGTGGGGCCCAAGTGGGCGCCCACACGACCCCAAGAAAGCATCAAGGTTAAGAAATTTCCCCAGGGTCTGGCCAGCGCCGGTGGTTTCTTCAGCCGTGTGTCTAGGACAAGAAAATTCGAGACTCTGGCTGCAAAACTGTGTGTTCTTAAACATCGAGCGTGGTGTAGATGGGCGCGCCCCCCCCCCCCCCCCGCCCGTTCCTCTTTCCCATGCTGGACCTTGTGGAGGGGGACCTAACCTCATCCTCATGCCAGGAAAGCTCAGGATCGAATCGACAAATCATGTCGGCGATCGAAATCACTCGGACCGGTGGACATCGGCAGCCGAGTCGGGAAAAGTCGAGCCGGCGGAAGTCGGCAGGCTGGCGGGCCTCCAGTGAAAATCGCAGCCCGGAGCGGAGTCCCAAGCCGAATCGGGTCGAGATCGCAAGACATCGAAGCAAAATCGGAGGAATCGAAGCGAACTCTGCCCTGCTGGCACTGCGATGGGGAGGGCCGGCCCCCCCCTGCGGAGGAGGAGGAGGAGGAGGAGGAGGAGGAGGAGGAGGAGGAGGAGGGGTAGGAAGAGGAGGGGGAGGGGGACAAGCTAGGTGCAATCGCGTCATATCTGACGTCCTACCCCTCCTTCCCATCCAGTACTTGGCATTGCATGGCGTAGCATGGTGTCGAATATCAACACGTAGCATGACATAGCATGGTCTGGCGACGCCCCGAAGTGGGGGGGACTTCTGCGGCCCCAAAAATTAACGAACCGACGCCGAATGTGTAATCATGTCCGATGACTCCTTCAGGGGGGGCATTTTCTAGATTTTGGGTCCTGTTTGAAGGACCGAAAACCATGCCGTGGCATGGCGCTGGAAATAATGGCGCCACCGCTGCAGCGGGAGCTCGACTCGGAACAAGCGGAAGCGCTGAAATGAGGCCAACGCTGCAGCGGGAGCACGATTCGGAACGCGCGAGAGCAGAATATATCCCCACCCGACATGTTGAGGTTGTTAGATTTCAAGAACAGACCCCCCTGGCCAACCCCGCACTGCATACCGCGGCCGCCAAACCCCAAATTGTTCCGAGAATCCCCCAGTTATCCTCGGGAGTCCCGCCCCCACGCCCTCGACAAACACGGCTGCGTACCGCGGCCGCCAGACCCCAAGTTTTTCCGCGAGTCCCCGAGTGTCTCCGAGTGTCCCTGGGGGTCCCCCCTCGCGCCCTCGACAAGCACGAAACAGCTCAACAGTATACAACAGAACATGACATAACATAACATAGCAATATCATGACAACATAGAGCATGCTGTAGCATCACAACACATACCAGAGCAGAACAGTACAACAACAAACAACGACATAACACACACTAACATAACATAACTGATTCTACCTTAGCGCACCTTGGCGGGACATTTCATTTTATGGCAAAGAACTCAGAACGGACCATAACATGACAACATAACATATCGACGAACACGACAGAACACAACGTGCCACAATAGAAGATAACATAGCATGATACAACCATGACATACCATGGCGGAACATAACATGGCAGTACCATTACAAAAGAGACCATGACACAACGTCATATACCAGAGCATAGCAAATAACGCCAGAACATACTAAAATAGCAGACATAACACGACATAACAGAGCAGAGCATGACATACCATGACAGAACAATGCATACCATTAAATAGCAAAGCACACCAGAACATCACATAACAAACCAAAACATAACGTCACATAAAAGAGAACCACAGAACATCACGGAACAAACCACACCAGAGCACTAGAGAAGGTCACAGAACAAACCAAAACCAGGCCAGACCCACCAATTGTCCCGAGAATCCCGCAGTCCCTGCCGCCGCCCCGCCGCGGGCGGCCTCCTCGCCTGCGCCCCTCAGTCTAAGGATGGGAGGGGGGAGGAAGGAGGAGGGCAAGGAGGCATGGGGCAGGAGGAGGAGGACAGGGGCCCAAGGTTTCGGCGGGGATCGCTCGGAGCAAATCATTTGTCTCTACACTTTTTTACGTGGATGGGGGCCGAACAATCTCCAGACGCCACCAGGGGAGAGAGGAGACACGCATTCAGATTGTGTAGCTGTGGACGCGGGGAAGAATTCGTTGGAACTCGCTGGTATCCACGAGGTGGTAGCGAATTAGCTAACGAGGGCCCCAGGCGGCAGCCCACAGAGAACGACCACCCGCGTGACGATACCCGGCTCTCTGGCCAGAGGCGCCCTGGGCGGACCCTGGCGGCTGGGGAACTGCCCCTTCTGAATTCTCTGGAGGTTCTCGGGGCCCTTCTTAGTTCGGGTCGTGCGCTCCGAAACGAGACGGCGCGGGTTCTCCGTGGCAGTTTTACCACACGCCAAACAAACATGCAGCCCAAACTTGGGCCAGAACGGCAAATTTTGGGACGCGTGACGCTCCTTCCCACCAACCGTCACCGCCCCACTCGCCCGTACCATCCCAAAATCAAGCAGACGCGAATGGTTTTGGGCCGCGGCCGTACACGAAGTGGAGCTATGCTTCGCCACATGTGCCGCAGGGACCACCGTGTAGCAGAGCGAGCACAGCCACTCACGTTCCGCCCGGGCCAAAACTGATCAGGTGCGCAGGGCCCCCAAGAGGCCCTCAGGGACCCGAGGGGCCTCAGGAGGCCGAGCCGCGGACCAAGGCGCAACACTGGTTGAGTCCGCCATAGCTCTGGCGGCTCCTCGCCTAACCAACGCCGCCGTGCAATCCCAAACGTCCGTGTCGGGGGGTCTCTGGCTCTGAAGGCCATGGGCCCAGGACAACTGAACCGCTTCCCCCGCAAGAACGTCGGCAAAACCATTTCCCGTGGCGTACAAACGCTCATGAGAGGAGAGGGAAGGGTCCTCAGCATCCACGTGCGACGGGTACCACACAACCTGGCCCTCTCCCTCCCCTCTTTCGTCGAGGGCCGCACGGACAGGAAACCAACACATGAGGATTGGGGCCCCTGCAGTTCTCGTGCCCCCCACAATTTTGCAGGGCCGCTTTGTCAGTGACGAGCCGCCTCTGGTCAGAAAACTTCCGAACCGCGAGCTCGAACGCTCGGAACCCGGCTCTGGGCACGGTCTGACGGCGACCCCCCAGGGTCGTGGCACTCCCGCGGGCCCGACGCCAGCCCCTCGAGGCAGCCGCCAGCGTAATCGCAGCCGCGCCCACACGTCGGCGATGAGGGTCGCTGGAAAACTGTTCGCTCGAGCCGTCTCCAAAAACTAAATGGAAGCCATCCTCAAGAGGACGGGGTCGAGCAGCGCACCCGCGTCTCCCCCAGCCTCCCACTCCATGTCACAACCCCCATCATGAAAATCGGGACACGTGAAGCTAAGCGGCGGGAGCCCGCGCAACCAGAGACTCGGGTTGGCTTCGTGGCCCGCGCGGACCTGGGACAGTCAATGCTCGAATTTAACGTAGACAGGGCCCCCTCTGTTGCTGGAGCATTCCCAAGGCCGATGAAACAGGGCTTCCTCTGGGGCTCCACACCGCGGGCACTTGGAGGAGGAGGAGGAGGAGGAGGAGGAGGAGGAGGAGGAGGAGGAGAAGAGGAGGAGGAGGAGGAGGAGGAGCCCCCCCCCCACCCGCGCCCGAGGCGCCCTGCTTGCCCTCCTTGGGCGCGAGGGCTGCAGCCTCGGGCAGGGCTGGGCCGGTGCGGCGCGCTCCGCTCCTAAGCTCTCGCCGTGGGGGGACGACGGGGTACAGTCGGGGCGCTGACCTAAGGAACCCTAAATGAGAAACGGGGCCCCTTCCTCCTATAAGTTGAGCTTCGACTTCCCATGGAAAACCTCAGGAAAACTGGAGGCAAACTGCAGAGCAATCAAGGAACGCCGAGCCCCTCCCCAACGAAAAGGGTTCCTTCTCCAGGGCCCCGGCTGTAGGATAGCAACCGGGCTGAACCCAAACGGTGTTGTTCGTTTTCGTTTCGGTTTCCCTCGTTTTGTCTTCAATCCGTCTTCACCACAAAACGAAGCCGAAACGAAAACGGCCCACGACATCGCCAAAGCACCGTTCAGGTCCAGCCCTGGGATAGCAGAGGGTACTCTGGGTTTCCTCCTCTCCTAAGCGTGGGGGGGTACCCCTCCGGCGGGGGTCAACCTCGCCTCCTCGTCGCGCCGCGACGGGGGTCGGAGCGCCTTCGGCGCGCGGTGGCTGCCCGCGACGGGGGTCGATGTGGGGCTGTCGGCGGGGGTGACGCCCCCCCGACGCTTGGTAAGAAACTCGGGGGAAGGGCGGAGAAGCAGCTGACGTTAGCTGGACTTCCTGGTTCCTGCTGGCGCCGGGAGGCGCCCATGCATCGAGGAATGGGGCCCGGCGGCGGGACGGACATCGGCTGCACGCAGCAGGGTTCGTGATCCCCCTCTCCTTGCCCTGCCCTTTCCTTTGGCCCGTTCTCACCCTCGGAACGCGTCGTCGTCGCCTCCTTCTCTCCTCCCTGCTGCTGCTGCTGCTGCTGCTGCTGCTGCTGCTGCTGCTGCTGCTGCTGCTTCGCTGCCCCGCGCGAGCAAAGAGACCCAAGTCATCAGCAGCTGCCTGGAGCAGCTGGGCGCCCCGCGGACGGACGGGGTGGCGCCCATGCGCCACCTTTTGAGCGGCTCATCCGCCCAAGCTTGTGCCGTTGGGGGGGGTGCTGCTGCCAGAAGCTCCCGGCGCACCCCAGTTGGGGGGGAATGCTGCTGCCAGAAGCTCCCGGCGCAGCTCAAGAACCCTGAGCACACAGCAGGCGCGAGAGGAACGGAGGGCGAGAGGGCGAGCGCACACCCGCCAGCTCAGCTACGCTGGCGCGGCGGAGGAGCAATCGAAGAAGGAGGACGGGGGGGAAGGTGCCGAGGAAGGACGCGCGCGGCTCTGAAGAGGCGGGCGACTCCACGGCCAACGGAACACCCCGGCGCGGCGCACGGTCCGTCTCATCTAAAGGCCCTCTGCCGCCCAGGATGGTACTGCGCGGAGCGCTACTGCCCTGGTGGTAGGAGGCCGAGGCAACTACTGGAAGGTCTTCGTCGGAAGGACTGCCGAGCATTGAACCCCATCGGGGGGCTTTACCCTGGACTAGTCGGCGGTGGACAAACCTCCCTTTAGTAAACCTCCCGTTAATGAAAAACGCCTGGGACCGAAACCGACGGACCTGGACCAGCAAAAATGATGGCCGCGACGCCTCCTCGCGAACCGAAAACGGCCAATTCCTTAATCGACGTGTCAGGGTAGGAGGTCTGTCCAACCCCGAACTAGGCCGCGGGTGAAACGGGATTGAGCCAGATTGAGCGGGATTGTGCCGGATGAAGCAGGATCGAGCTGGGTCACGCCGGATTTCGGACCAAAGCAGAATCATCATTTTCGGCGGTGGACAAACCTCCCTTTAGTAAACCTCCCTTTAGTGAAAACGGCCTAGGACCGAAACCGACGGACCTGGACGGGCAAAAATAACGGCCGCGACGCCATCTCGCGAACAAAAAACGGCCAATTCCTCAATCGACGTGTCAAGGTAGGAGGTTCATCCACCTCCGACCCATCCTTGAACCGCCAAGCTGCCTCCAGAACCGAGCCCTGGGTCCAGAGAGCAACGACGGCCCAGGCCGACTGCGCCCTGGACCAGGGGGTGGAATGAAGTTCCCCGAGAGACGGGGTCACCGCCAACCCTCGCCCAAAGAAACACAGGACGAGGAAGGATTGAGCGGATGGGAGGGAATGCCGAGTGGAAGCAGATGAAGAGGAGGAAGACAAGGAGGAGGCAGAGCAGGAAGGGGAGGAAGAAAAGGAGGATGGCGAGGCTGGGGGATGAGGTTGATCAGAGGAAGGAGAGGAGGAGGAGGAGGAGGAGGAGGAGGAGGAGGAGGAGGAGGAGGAGGAGGAGGAGGAGGAGAAAGGAGGAGGAGGAGGAGGAGGAGGAGGAGGAGGAGGAGAGGAGGAGGAGGAGGAGGAGAGGAGGAGGCTGAAGAGGAGGATGGAGCAGATGAGGACCAGGGAACATATGATGGGGAGAACAGGGTGGGAGGATGTCAAGGAAGATGGTCAGGATGGAGAGGATAATGCAAGCACAAGCAAACAATCGCATGGGGTGACCGTGTTTCACAAATGGGGAGGATTACGACGAGGAGGACGCGGGAGGAGTGCAAGGAGGCGGGAAGGAGAAGGATTAGAGAGACGAGGCGGGGGGGGAGGAGGAGGAAAAGGAGGACCAGGAGAACAGGGGAATTGAAACAGATGGGGATGAGTGGGATGAGGATGAGGCCATGAGCGCAGTGGGACGACCACAGGGAGCCGGAGGGCACGACGCCAAGAAGGGACAGGGGAAGGAGGAGCAGAGCATGGAGCAGAGCAGCGTCGATGTTCCGATGGCGCACCTCTGGAGGATAGACGGATGCAACCACAAGCCGTACTTTCGGCGGTGAGTCCGAGGGGAAGTGACACGGGCCGGGCCTGCCCAGAAGGCTCGGAGGTCATCGGGCCTTCTGCGAGATTTCTCGGCCTTCCTCGACGGCATAAAAAAAACTCTCAGAAGGGCGGAGGGCTTCTGAGAAGTCCCGCCACCTCCTGAGAGGACCTTCTACTCCTCACCTCACACCCTCGCTCGCGCCGAAGGAGGAGGAGGAGTAAAACGAGCAGGAGGACGAGGAGGAGGAGGAGGAAAATGAGGAGGAGGAGGAGGACGACGACGAGGAAGAGAAGGAGGAGGAGGAGGAGGAGGAGGCAAAGGGAGAGGAGGAGGAGGAGGAGGAGGAGGAGGAGGAGGAAGAGGAGGAGGAGGAGGAGGAGGAGGAGGAGGAGGAGGAGGAGGGGGACCCTGTCCCACGTTCAAAGGCCCCTGGCCGCGCAGGAGGAACACGAGCCTCCGCGTGGTCAGGGCAGCGCGCCCCGCGCAGGAGGAACACGAGCCTCCGCACGGGGCCGAGGCACAGGAGGAACACGAGCCTCCGCGCCGCGGGATATGGACCCCTAGCCGCGCAGGAGGAACACAAGCCTCCGCACGGCCAGGGCAGGGGCGCAGGAGGAACACGAGCCTCCGCACCCCGCGGCAAGAACCCCTGGCCACGCAGGAGGAACACGAGCCTCCGCGGGCCAGGGCAGGGGCGCGGGAGGAGCACGAGCCTCCGCGCCCCAGCGAGCAGCTCAGATAATCCCGCCGTGCCCGTCAAGGCCGAGCACATCGCGATGGTTGCTGCGCTCCTCGAGCACAGGGCCTCGAACTGGCGGACGAGGTCCGCGGCCTCCTCACGGTACCTGCACTTCTCGAAGCCGTTCGTGGCGCACGCCTGCATCACGGGATCGCTGCTGCGGATCTTCTCCTCCATTGGCATCTCGGGGTCGTTGCGATCCAGGACCAACGCGTCTCCGTCGCTGGAGACCGAGCCCACGACCATCGTCTCCAACTGGTCGGCCATATCCGAGGACTCGTCCATCCCCGACAGGTCCACCACACGACCCGTGGAGCTCTCCGGGTCGTCCATGGCCTTGTACTCTGCACCCTTGACGTCCTCCACGACCTTCTGGAGCTTGATCTCCAGCTCGTGGAGCTTCCCTTCCACCGCCTGGATGCGGTTGGTGTCGAAATTATTCTGCGGCGTGTGCTTGACCTCGCCCTGGGCCTCCTGCGACACGCCTCTGGCCTGGGGCCGCCCCAGCGCACTCACGACCTGCTCGGCGAGCGTGCCGTCAGGATGGGCGACCGCCCTGCGCCCCTTGTTGCAGGCCTCGACCCTGCGTGCCAAGCCCTTCTGGCCCCGCTGGATCAGTTCCTGCTGGATGACCTGCGCGGACGGCTTGGAGTTCTCCTCCCAATCCAAGGCACGGCCAGCCAGGGTGCAGAGCTCCTCGAACTTTTCCAGCGTGTAGGAGTCCTTCTTGTGGTCGCCTGCCTCGGCAACAGCCGCCTTCGCTGCTTCCACAACCGCAACTTGCAGAAGTCGCCCCGTCAGGGCCCGACGGGTCGACAGACCAGCCACCGCACGGAACACCGCCGAAACCTTCTCCTCCACCTGCGCCATGCCGGGCGAAGGGACCGCGCGCCGCGCGGGGGAAACCGAGCCTTGAGCCAAAATGGCTACGGAGGAGGATGAGGAGGAGGAGGAGGAAAAAGGGACAGCGAGGAGGAGGAGGAGGAAAACGAGGAGGAGGGAAATAGGAAAGAGAGGAGGAGGGCGAGGACGATGGAGGCTGGGCCTCCTGAGGCGCTCCGGGGGCGGCGGGCACGTTCTCCTTGCCGCCCGCAGAGAGCCACTCCTGCCAGCAGGGAGGCCGGGGGGGCAGCAGGCGCACCGCTGGGCTCATGCTCATGTGCGTCGCTGTCCTCCTCCTTCTCCTCCCCCTCCTCCTCCTCCGCCTCCTCCTCCTCCGCCACCTCCTCCTCCTCCCCCTACTACTACTCTTCCTCCTCCTCTTCCTCCTACTCCTCCTCCTCCTCCTCCTCCCTCGCCTGTTCCTCCTCCTTCTGACCCTCCCCGGTTCCTCCTCCTCATCCTCTTCCTTTACCTCCTCCTGCTCCTCCTCCTCCTCCTCCTTCGTCCTCCTGCGGGCTCGTGTCGGGGATCTTGCCAACCCTATTGCCGGATGCCGCTTGGTAGGTGCGGCCTCCTGCATTCGTTACGACCATCGGTTCACCTGGTTCTCCCCAGCAGGGAGCCAAACAAGCACCCTCATAGTAAGCACCCCGACAGGCGAAGCCATTTTATAAAAGCACCCAAGGAAGGACCAAGGAAGGCCTCGAACAAGGCAGGGCCGGGGTGGCTTCTCCTCCCTAGATCCTAACATCGTCCCCCTCCTCCCCTGGCACTCACTCCTCATACTCCTCATGCTGCTCCTCCTCCTCCTCCTCCTCCTCCTCCTCCTCCTCCCTCCTCCTCCTCCTCCTCCTCCTCCTCCTCCTCCTCCCTCCTCCTCCTCCTCCTCCTCCTCCTCCTCCTCCTCCTTCTAATTGTGGCGCCCACTCCTCTGGCGCATGATCCTGCTGCTACGCATGCGTCTACACCACCCTGCTGGCACTGCTGCCTCGGCAGATCCCGCTCCTCGTGTTCTTGGTCTTGTCTGTGCGAGATCTCTCCTCAACTTCGAGTACTGTGCGGCGTCCTCGAACACCAACAAGAGACGGGCCGAGGGAAGTGCCCCAAACGATCCAATCACCCCTCGGGGCGGAGGTGCTCCAAGGCGCTTCCTCTTTCCACCGGGTTTACCCATCCCCCCAGCCCTGGATATGGACGGAGGGTTGTGCGAAGCGTTTCGGCGCCCAACATGCCTCAGAAATGGCCCCGTGCTCACTATTACCTCCAACTTGGCGCAAGTTTGTCCAAGATTGCTCAAGATCGTTTCGATGCCTCCGCGAGGCCGCAAGACTTCCCGATGAAGGCTCCGAGTGGCCACGGAGCCTCCCGGACCCGAAACAGCCAAAATCCCTGCAGAGCATTCGAGATGTAAAAGATGTGCTCCTTCTCGCCCCCTCGCTTCCGATGGCTTTGGGGCCCCAAGATCACCTGAGAGAACCCCGAGAGAGGGCCAACAGGTTTCAGCAGGGCCCCAAATAGCGCCTCGGAGAGCCCCGAGCACGCCCCGATCGGGCTCCACCGACTGTTCCGCCTCCAGAGAGGCGAGGCTAGGACCCCTGCCTCGATGAAAGCCAAAGGCATTCAAACCCTTCGGGTGCTGGACTGACTTTGGCATCTCGGAGGGCATCCGTGGTAGGTTGTAGGGCCAATCTACCTGCAGGGTGGCCCCAAATAGCTCTTATAACGCTGCCTCCAAGATGTCGCAGGATGGTACAAAAGGGCCCTTCCTTCGCGCTCCCGCGCCGCCCCCTTGTGGAGAGGAGGAGGGCCAGGAGGGATCGGAGCCGCACCGCGAGGCACGGAGCGCGAACAACCTCGCGCCCTGGATGGCGCCCCTGATGACAGCTCACACGTCGGCTACACGCAAGAGTGACCCTGGGTAAGAGTGACCTTCGGTGCGCGGCTTTTTGGGGGGCCGCGCGGGGACCGAACCGAGGCGCGCAAGCCGCTGCTCCTGCTTCGTTTTCAGCCATCTGGGGACCCATCTGTGCCCGCACCAAAGGTCACTCCGGCGAAAGGTCATTTCTACGATTTGTCGAGCACCGTCCTACGCCATGCCTCCGGGAAGGCCACGAGACCACCCCAAGCCGGCCCCCTAGTGGCCACGAAGCGTCAACACCTTGCGCCTTCTTGCCGTTGCACCATCACCACCATCACCAGAACCATCAGAGCACCAACAGCTTGAACATCAAGCTCATAAGAAAAAAATGGGAGCCATCCTCATCATCATCGTCGTTGCCATTACCATCACCCTCACCCTCACCCTCACAACCATCAACATCGCCGAGGAGAAGAGGGGAGGGGGTCAGTGGATGTGTGAGAAAAGGGCTGACCAAAAGGCCGATCCCCTCCCGACCATCCGTTGGCAAAGCCGGTAGCAACGCATGGAAGACGAGGATGAAGGTTTTGCCCTTCTCCACTACTCCGCCACACACTTGCGCATGCCAATACATGCGAGTCCAAAGAGGGGCAGCACTGCAGTAAAGTGAATGGGAAATGTGGGGATCATTCACAGTGCAGGAGGGACCCACTTTGGCCTCGCCGTCGTCGTCGTCGTCGTCGTCGTCGTCATTTTCATTACCATCACTTTCATCACGATCACCATCACCCTCACCAGCATTAACAACGACGATGGCTCGAAAGGCCTCGCCGCCCCTGGCGCGCGCTCCAGGTCAGCCGAGACCTTCTGGCCGCGGCGGCGGTGCCCTACCGACGTCGCGCGCCAGCGCGGAGGGCAATTGGCCGGCGGGGCCCTCGCGCGGCGCCTCGGGCCACGGCACGGAGGAGGACCTCCGCTTGGCTACTCCATCCCGCCCTCTCGCCAGCTGCCTGCCTCCTCCTCCTCCTTCCCCTCCTCCCTCCTCCTCCTCCTCCTCCTCCGTCTCCTCCTCCTCCTCCTCCTCCTCCTCCTCCTCCGCCTCCTCCACCTCCTCCTCCTCCTCCTCCTCCTCCTCCTCCTCCTCCTCCTCCTCCTCCTGCCCTCCCCCTGGCGCTCCTGCAGCGCGTCGGCCTCCGGGCCCCTGGCCTGCCGCAGCCACGCCTCGACCGCCCGCGGGCTCGCGTTCTGCGCGCTTGCGGCCACCTGGCGAGGGGGCGCGGGGAAAGGAAGCTCGAGACCGCCCCCCCCCCCTTTTCGTGGTCGTCGTCCTCCTCCTCCTCCTTCCTCCTCCTCCTCCTCGTCGTCCTCTTCCTTTTCCAACTTCTCCGCTTCATTCTCGAGCTTCTCCTCCAAAACCTCCTCCTCCTCCTCTTTTTCATCCTCCTCCTCATTTTCCTCCTCCTTCTCGTCCTCCTCCTCCTCCTCCGCCTTCTCCTGGTGCTGCTGCTCCTCCTCCTCCTCCTCCTCCTCCTCCTCCTTTTTTTCCTCCTCCTCCTCCTCCTCCTCCTCCTCCTTTTTCTCCTCCTGCACCTGCTCCT